CTGGCTGACTGGGAGGATGGTAGTGTCCTTGTCAATAATAGGGAAATGTGGAAAAGAGGAGGGTTTGGTGGAGGTGGTGGGAAAGATAATAAATTGTATTTTGAACATTTTGAATTTGAGATGCCTATGGGACATCCAGTTCAAGATGTCCAAAGGGCAGTGCTGTAGAATTAGAACTCAGTAAGAGAGGTAGGTCTGGATATATAGACTTGAAAATTATCTGCAGAAATGAGAACTGAACCCAGGGGAGCTGATGAGATCACCAAGCAAAATGCTATAGAGGGAGAAGAGAAGGAGTCCTCAGATAAAGTCTTAGAGAACATCCATGGTTAATAGACATGGCCTAGATGATGATCCAGCAATAGGGACAAGGAAGGGGTGTTCAGAGATATAAAAAGGGAACCAGGAGATAGCAGGAATATAAAAACCTAGAGAAGCAAGATAATCCAGGAGAAGAAGGTGATCGATAGTGTTAAAGGCTGCAGAGAGGTCCAGTAGGATAAGTATTGAGAGAAGACCATTGGATCTGGCAATATAGACATGTCTGGTAATGTTGGAGAGAACAGTTTCAGTGGAATGATGAGGTACAATGTGAGGTTGCAGAAGGTTTAGTAGAGGGTGACAGGAGACAAAGTGGAGGGACCCCAAGGGTATACAGTTTTCTAAGAGGGTTTAGTCAAGAATAAAGGCCAGAATAAAAGGTGCTGGATTTGGGGTCAGAGGACTTGACTCCATAATCCCAGCAATGCTGGTTCCCACCTATGATCATTTTGGTCCTCAGTTTCTTCATCTGTAAAATAAAGGAGATAATTCTATGAAAGGACAAGCTTTGACACTAATCATAGTAACTGACATTTAACTCACTTTATTGTTGTTATCTTTGTTCAGTTGTATCCAACTCTTCATGGATTTGTTTGGGGTTTTCTTGGCAAAGATACCATTTCCTTCTCCAGTTCATTTTACAGATGAGGAAACTGAGGCAAACAGGGTTAAGTGACTTACCTAGGGTTACATAACAAGTAAATGTCTGAAGCCAGATTCGAACTCAGGAAGATGAGTCTTCTTGATTCCAGGCCTGGCACTCTATCTGCTTTGCCACGTAACTGCCCATTAACCCACTTTAGGGCTTGGAAAGAAAGCAATTATTAACTTCTCAGTGTTCTCTATCTACTTTCTAAGATTATAGATTACAGAACAGTACCTGATCTATTGCGGTAGAGGAAGGCCCCTGGCTGGTATTTCCCAAAACCATTTCCTTCCCAATACCGCTACTTATTTATTAAGAACCTATTGGGGCAACTAAGTTGCACAGTGGATAGAGCACCAGCCCTGGAGTCAAGAGGACCTAGATTCTAATCTGGCCTCAGACACTAGCTGTGTGACCCTAGGGCAAGTTATTTAACCCCAATTGCCTCCAAAAAAAGAAAGAAAGAAAGAAAGAAAAAGAAGCTACTATATGTAGCCTATTATGTGACAGGCAGCATGGTTTAATGGATGAAGAACAGGCCTTTGAGTGAGGAAAACTTGATTTCAAGTCCCCACTCTGATGTGTGACCCGGGAAAAGTCAAATAATAATAATAATGATAGATAACATTAGTATATCACTTTAAGGTATGCAAAGCACTTTACAAATATTATTTCATTTGATTTTCCCAACAACCATGGGAAGGAGGTGACATTATAATCCTCATTTGACATATGAGGGAAACTCAGGCAGGCAGGGGTTAAGTGATATGCCTAGGGTCACACAGCTAGGAAATGTCTGAGGCTAGATTTGAATTCAGGTCTTCTTGACTCCAGGTTCTGCTCTCTGTCTACTCTTGACACCTACCCGCATATTCTAGGTAACTCCATAAGACTTTAAATTATAGAGAAGGTGAATTGGCGCTACTTGCACTGGTGGAGGGAGTTCCCTCACTGTGGAGTTCTCTCTATACTAGAGAAATCACAAGTACAGATAATGTCCCTAAAACATGTCAGGCTCTGTGCAGGGTAGCGGGGAATACCAAAAGAAAACCAAGAGTCATTCTGAGCTTCAAGAGGCTTACATTCTGCTGGGGGTGAGTGAGCTGGGGACAGCATGAATCCAGATAAAACTATGTAAAATATGTACTGTACAAAGTAATTTTTGGAGTTGCACTAACAGTTGGGAAGAGCAAGAAAAGCTTCCTGCAGCTGAGCCTACTTGAGCTAAGCCTAGAAGTGAGGAGACCAGTTAGGAGGCTACTACTGTGGTCTCGAGAGAGACTGCTCTGAACACAGAGGTCACTAGGTAAGTAAAAACAATGGAATAATTAAAGATTGTGGAGGTAAAATCAACAGGATTTCCATACTGATTTGGATATGGGGCGCATTGGGATGGAGATGGAGAGGGAGAGTGAAGATGGGAGGGTGACTCTGGAGTTCACCCAGAGAACTAGATGGTAACTACTATCTGGTTCTCAAGAGAAACAAGGAAATTAGAAATAGGGATGAATTTAGGGGGAAAGACGAGTTCCGTTATTGATATGGGCAAAAAAAGAGTTTGCAAAGCACTTCACATATATTGATTCATTTGATCCTTATATTTCTCTGAAATAAGTACTGTGAGTATTATTACAATTTGGAAGAAGAGAAAATGGAGCATCAGAGTGGTTATGATGTGTCTATTGTTACACAGGTAATGTTGGAGATGGGATTTGAACCCTTCTTTTTCCTGATTTCAGGCCCACTGTTCCTTCCACTATACAATTCTCTCTCTCTCTCTCTCTCTCTCTCTCTCTCTCTCTCTCTCTCTCTCCCCTTGATTTTACATTCAACTCCAGAGGAGATGCTACAATTTCCCTCTGTTGTATTTCTGTCCATTTAACAATATTAAATGTCAGGAAATCCTACTTATTGTCTGACTGATATCCCCACCATTATAGTTAAACTTGGTACACCTACACAGGTGTAGAACAGCACAGTCCCTCTTGATGTTTTGTCCATTATAAAGAGTTCCCTATGTTGGTTTTCTCAGCACAAAGTTTTCATGGTTGGGGGCCTGAAGAAAGTGGCAAAGATGTTAGTTCAGAAAATCCCTGGGACCCAACAAATGAGTGAGAGGGAAGCTGTTTTCCAGGGCTTTTGTCAACACATAGGCGAAGTCATTCTTAATCTACTCAACACTGGGGAGACCACGTCTGAAGTTTGGAATTCACTTCTAGACATCACATTTTAAGAGGGATGCTAATGGACTGGAGCGTGACCAGGATGATAAGGAGGCTCAGGCATGGTTGATGGAACAGGGGAGATTTAGTCTCAAAAAGAAAAAGTTTTAGAGAAATGAGAGTTGTGTTCAAATATCTGGAGGATTGTTGTATGGAAGAAGGTTTAAATTTACCCAGTGTTGTGCCAGAGATCAGAAAGAATGAGACAAATATGTGGAAGCTACAGGAAGGCTAATTTTGGCTCAATGTGAAGAAAGATGAAAAAAAAACTATTAGAATTGTCCAACAATGAGGCTCCCTCATGTGATAATGAGATCCACTTCACTGAGAATGTTCAACAGAGACTTGTTAAGCATCTGTTAGGGGATGGGAATTTAGACAAGATGTCTTCCAATAGTTGGAGGAGACCTTAGAGATTCTACAATGGAGCTCTAATTACTTATAGACTCCTCCTGTAGGGGAGAAAAACTACCAAGGATTTTTATCAGTACTAATAATTAGAACAATAACATCTTGCATTTGTGGAATGCTTGATTTTCATTTGATCTTTACAATGACCCAGTTTTGGAGTTGGGCTTATTTATTTTTTGGCTGAGAGGTATGATTTCAATGAGTAGGGAACTCCCCATGAGAAAGCTCCTTCTACCATTGCTGATCTGCTAATCAGCAAATGTTCCACAATTCAATGTTATGAAGAGTCACCTGTCATCTCAGAGAGGATAAGTTTTTGTTTAGGGTCTCAAAGTCAGTATTGTCAGAGATGGGACTTGAATTCAAATCTTTTTTACCCTAACATTGGCTCTCTATTCAATACTACAGGATGCTACCATTTTAGGATTAACCAAATTTTATTTTAATTATTTAAATTTTTATATTTTAAAAATTATATGTAAAAACAATTTTTAACATCCACTTTTTAAAATTTTGAGTTCCAAATTCTTTCCCACCCTACTTCCCCTCTTCTATTCCTTGAAAAGACAAGCAATTTGATATAGATTCTACACAGAGTCATGCAAAACATATTTCCATATTAACCAAAAGAAAAAAGACCCCACCCCCCAAAAAATTAAGAAAAATCAATTTAAAAAAGTATGCTCTGATCTGCATTTAGGCTCCATCAGTTCTTTCTCTGGAGGTGGATAACATTTTTCATCATAAGTCCTTTGGAAATTAGCCACATTTTAGTGTTTTTTTGTTTCTTTTGTTTTTTCACTTTTTAAAGATGATGAAACCAAAGCCCAGAGAGCACCATGGTCCCATGACCCTATAACTTGCCCCAGCTCAAGGTTGCTAGAGCCAGGACTAGAACCCTCCACTAGTGTAGATAGTTGCTTGGTTGGTTGGTATTGTTGCTTGGTTTTATTTTTGTTCAGTTGTTTTTCAGTTGTGTCCAACACACTCAATAGAACGTAGACTCCTTGAGACAGGGACTCTTTCATTTTTTGTCTTTGTATCTCCAGTATCTAGCAAAGTACCTGGAACATAGTAGACATTTCACAAATGGTTGATGATTGACACTGATCCCAATCTAATTCATTAAAACAAATGAAGGTATTGGATCATCCAAGGCCAAGGAAGAGCAGTGGGAATTCAGCCAAATTGTAGGTTCAACAACCCCAGGGTTGAGGACAACTTCCTTTCTTCTTTTGATTGGCCCCTCATAAAATCCTGAGGGTAGGGTGGGGAACAGTGGGGTGATTTGGGGGCTGGGCGGAGGCTTCGCGGAGAGTTTATAAACCTCTAGTGAGAAGCCTCTTCATCGAGTCTCCTGCTAAGGTGTGAGGTTGCTGTCTTCCTCCTGTCCACCTGACTTCCCTTCAGCATGAGCTTCACCGGCAAATACGAAGTTGAGAGTGAAAAGAACTATGAAGAGTTCCTGAAAAATTTGGGTGAGTAAGCTTGTCTTGTGTTTTTTCTGATAAAGTCATCCTGGGGATGGGGAATAACAATTCCCTTACCCCTAGTTTGTAGGGGCACTTGGTATTTTTCAAACCACTTTTGCACACTTGTTTTTTGTAGCTAACCTGGGATCTAGGCAAGGCAGCAACTAGCCATTTAATTGATAGATAGATGGAGGCAGCAGAAAGAGAACTTGGGGAAATTAATAGAGAGCTAACCTTAGATTCAGGAAGACTTAGATTTCAGGTCTATGTCTTGCTGTATATTGTCTATGTGTCCCTGGGCACTTAATCTGTCAGTATCCTCAGGTACATTTTTAAGACTGAAAATCATAGATACGGGCCAGAGTGGGAAATGGGATGAATTAGTAGTGTAATTGGGATTAAAACTCTGGTCTCCTGAATTAACTCTGGTACTCCTTCCCGTAGACTACACCTTGGATTCTGTTCTGTCCCAGTTACGGAAGGGGAACTTAGACAGATGCTCCCAAACTTTCCTTGTTTACAGGTTCTTAGTGTCAGTAATTTTTTTTCACAATGCCCCTAGGCCAAAAGAAATATCTGCCATTTCCCTTCTTAAGTACTTAAGTCCAAACAACTTAATAAGTATTTATATCTTAACTACTTAGTAGAGGCTTAAAAAATACCTATAAAATGAAAGAAAAAAGAATATTCTAAATCCATTCTTAAATTACCACAATTAATTACTCATGGGATGTGTGTGCCCTTTGGGTACTGCACAGCTTCTCAAGCCTTGGAATCATGTGGGGCACTGACACCCTCATTTTTTCTTCCACATTGATTTTCATGTAGTACTTACTTTTTAATGGTAGTAACCATCAGAATCCATAGAGGCAGTTGATTGCTAAATGGATAGATCGCTGGGCCTGGAGTCAGGAAAACCTGAGCTCAAAATTTCCGCTCAGAAACTTACTAGCTGTGTGACTCTGAGCAAGTCACTTAACCCTGTTTGCCTCAGTTTCCTCATTTGTCAAATGAGCTGGAGAAGGAAATGGCAAACCACTCCAGTATCTTTGCCAAGAAAATCCCAAATGGGGTCACAGAAAGTCGGACACAACTGAAAAATGACTGAACAACAACAAAACCAAAATCCGTCTTCACAGAAGTAGGTGATCGTGAATGGAAATAGGGTTTGCTGAGCTTTAGCATTTAGCAGTGGACATTTATCTGCTATGTTTCCCTTGAGAATTTAAATATCCCCAGTCCAGTGATTGGGGGACACCAATCCCACCTTCCAAGTATTTATTAAGCACAACAGGTAAAATGCTATGGAGAAGTGCAGACAGTTTCCTGGAGGTAGCCTGGGGAGGTCTTTGAGGCCCTGCTGGAATGCTGATCTTGCTTCTGGAAGGAAGGCTGGATAAGGCAGGAATGCTGATGGAACCTCTGCCCTCTGTCCTGTGTCCTTGCTGCTTTTCATGCCACAGGGTTAGGGGTTTTTGACGGATGGAACAGCAGCCAATGTGAGAAGGACCTGGGGTAGGAGTCACGGGACCTGGGCTCCACCCTTGAGTTAGTTAGCTGTGGGTCTCTAGGTAATTCCCTTGACCCGTCTGGGCCAAAGTTTCTGTTCTACCTCACAGGGTGAGGAAGCAGATATGAAAATCCTATGAAAAGCTAAAAGCTCTCCCCAAATCTGAGGTGGTATTATTATGGTTCTTTGCAGTGAGTCAGTGCTCGGTAAATGGAGAGACTGCTAGAGGGACATTGGAACGTTTGCCCTCTACTCTGGGGAGTAAGTGATGCTGTGGGGATTTTTACCCCAGGGAGTTAGTTAATGGCAAGGGCTTTGGCCTCCAGACCTGTTAAAGACCTTAGCTTAAAAAGGCACTGCATCCGGGGCCATCTCCAGTCATTCTGATTGATATCTAGCTACTGGACCCAGATGGCTCCAGAGGAGAAAGTGAGGCTGGTGACTTTGCCCAGCCCTCCTTCACTTAAATCCAATTCACTTGCATGTCGTGGCATCACCTTCCTGATCTCATAGTCCTCTTCAAGAATGAAGGACAAACAGCTTAACACTATCTCTTCCAAGTCAACACATCAACCACATTTATTAAGTAAGCTCTGGGCTAAGCACTGGGCATTCAGAGAAAGACAAAAACAGGAGCTCACACTTAGATGGGGGAGACCACACATACAAGCAATAAGTATGACAGATTAATTTGGAGGTGATCATAGCAGGCACTTAGTATTTGTTGAATTAGATCAAACCATCCACAGGAATCACAGGAGATCGGATAGTGTGGGTCACCGGACACCTGCTGGGTGACGGTGGGCCAACAAACCTCTTCACTTCTCTGACCATTAGCTTCCCATCTATAACATGGAGGGGCTGATCTGGATCAGGGGTGTCAAACTCAAGTAGAAATGGGGGCCACCTATTGACTTAGAAAAACACGAATTAATGTTATCTACATTGTATTGCATTTTTATTTATTTTGTGAAACATTTCCCAGTTACATTTTAATCTGGTTCTGGCACACTCAGGAGTTTTGCAGGCCCCAAGTTTGAAGGCTAGATGACCTCTATGCTCTCTTCAGGCTTTACAAGTCTGGTTCCGTGACTGTGTCTTTCCTTTGGTTGTGGGGGGGAGGGGGAAGGAAGCCTGTTTTGCAGAGAGTTTTTATTTCACCTTAGGAGAGCAATCAATCAACAAGCATTTATTAGGTGTTTACTATGTCCTGGGTATTGTGCTAAATGTTGGGAATTTTTCAGTCCTGTCTGACTCATCATGACCCTATTTGAGGTTTTCTTGGCAAAGATGCTGGAGTGGTTTGCTATATCCTTCCCCAGCTCATTTTACGGATGGGGAAACTCAGTAAACAGGGTTAAGAGACTTGCCCAGAGTCACACAGCTAGGAAGTGTCTGAAGGCAGATTTGAACTCAGGAACATGAGCCTTCCTGACTCCAGGCCCAGTGCTCTATCCACTATGCCACCTAGCTGTCCAATGTTGGGAATACAAAGACAAAATGGAAAATGTTCCTGCCTTTGAGGAACTTGCTTTTTCTTTGGCCAGACAGCAGGTACACATAAACACATATAAAACATATATACAAAAAAAATGTGGGGTTTTGTGTGTGTGTGT